CCCTCTAAACTTTATTGGAAGACTCTCAGGATCACCAAGTCAATAGATAAAAAGCTGAGACCATTGTTAGCTTGCACATTGGTTCGATTGTCAGCTTCTACATTCTTCCCTGGTGTCGTTGGCATCTCGACTTTTCTCAGCTGCAAGGGGTCATAATTCCACCCCTTTTCAAGGATCCCAACCCCCCGACATCAGCCACTCTGTCCATTGGTATTCAGAGTAGATTCTGTCTATATCCAAGGGTTCTGATGCTCAGTCATAATGACACCAGCAGCATCAGAGACTATTATATGGCTTTGGGGTCTGTGGGGGTTTGGCTCCAAGAATTTCTGGATTTATGGTAAACCTTAAACAGGGATCCATGGGCACTACAGGTTCTACAGTCAGGATTAATCATTCACAGATTCTCCGATTTCTGAACTTTGTTCTAGGGTTGTCAAAGTTTGGTTGATCTGGGAGTAGATAGAGAGCCGTGCTAGTTCTTTTGGGGTTTTATTCCCATCATTTTGTTGGGCTCAAGATGACAGGAGACTGGCATCCAGTCATTGATCTTTCTTGTCTATATCAATTCCTAGATTCTCCAATGTTCATAAGTGACTCATTCCTCATTCAGAATTTGCACTTTTTACTTGGACTGTGAATGTCCAAGTTTGATGTCTTTGGCTCTTATCTGCACATTGCCATAGTGGGGGTGCACAAGGGTCAGGTACTGCAGTTCAGGGTTCTTACCTTCGGACTAGCATCAGTGCCATATGGGTTCTGCTGAATCATACGACTTTTTTCTTGTCACATCCATTTCCTAGCTCTGTGCACACACCATTCCATGGTTGACTGGTTTCTTCTGGCACCATCTCGTCAATTGTCAGAACATCACACCTGGATTGTACTTTCAGAAACAACCAAGGTAGGCTTCATTCTCAGATCTGAGACAGCTCTTCTTGCTCCAACTCAATATGTTGTCAGTCTAGGTATTTTGTTCATCATGTATCTCAGTTGGACTCAGCCAACTGCTGTTCAGCTTCACACTATAGAACAGGAAGACTGATGCTTACTCACCTCTTCTTCTCCCACTGCAAGGACGGTTCTTTCTCTTCTGGTAATGTGGGCATCACACGAATCCCTCATGTCTTTTGGATGAGTGCACAAGAGATCCCTTCAATGGTCTTTATGCAACCACAGGATTATGAACAGCAATTTACTGGATTCCCCAGTTTCCTTATTCACAATCATTCTCTTCATTCTTGAGGGGTGATTAGATTGGAACAACACTAAGATATGAGCTCCTCTGCCTCCATCTCATCCAGAGATCCATCTCTTCCCAAATGCCTTGCTTTGGAGATAGGGTACACATCTCAGTGGTTAGGAATTCAACGGTCTATGCATGGACAACAAGGCTACCCTACACAATGTTTTAGATCTTTTTGCTCTTGAAAAGGTGATGTCTCGTGGTTTGGGCTTATTAAGGGCAAAATCATCTAGCTTCACTCCGACAATTCCACTTTGGTGTTTTGCATTTCCCGTCATGGGAGCACTTGGTCCAGTGCTCTTTGTTTTTTAATCTTGATATCACACTACTAGCTTGCCATGTTCCTCGGGAGATGACTTTGGTGGCAGATCAATTGTCTCGACCCAGATTCTTCCAACAGAATGGATACTGCTTTGCAAGGTTTGGCTCTCATTTTGAAACACTGATGATTGGTGGGTTGGCCACTCATTGTAACACCAAACTACTGGCAATTTTGTCTCCAGTACCTCACCCTCGGGCTTTGGCAATAGATGCATTCAGTCATCCAATTTGTATGTTACCCAAAGTACTAGCTATGATTCGTTGCAACCCATTATCAGGTGCTTTTGATAGCACTGAATTGGCAGCTAAACCATGGTTTTATGCTTCTGCTGTACCTTCAGGAGTGCCCACCTCTTCCACTTCTTCTTTGGTCATTTCTGCGGAGGCAGCCATGATCTGACATTGTACACTCAGCTATCCAGAAGCTCAATCTTCAGGCATGGAGGTTATGCAGTCCTTTGCACAGTATCAGGGTTTAACTTCTAAGGTTGCCATGTATCTGTCTCAGTCTTTGCTTAGCCCTGCAATAGACATTTATCAATGGAAATGACATGCATATCAGCAATGGTGTATTGAGAAGAGATTGAACCCACTTCAATCAGAAGTGCCAGCCATAACTCGTTTTTTAACCTGGCTCTTTGGCAAGGGTTTTGCATCTTCCACAGTTGCCCTGTATAAAGCAGTTTTATCAACTACCATTCAAGAATCAAGACAAAAATTCTTTGAGTCCCCAGTACTCTTTGGCTTCCTCAAGTCGCTTAGGGTCCTTTGTTTCAAACGACCATTGCAGTTATCTAACTGGTATATTACGGTTACATTACATGCCCTTTCTCAACACCTGTTTGTGACCTTAGCCTCATGTGCCATGTATCACCTTTTCCTGAAGGTTTACTTTTCATTGCTGCTAACTTACAGACGTTGCTGGTCGGAGAGGTTTGCTCAGACCATTTCATCTTCCCTAAGGCACTGTCAACCAGGAAAGGGATAAATCCTTTCCACCAATTTATCTGACCACTATTTCTCACGTCTATGACAGGTCAGATTTCTATTCTTTGTTATGTCCAGTAAGGGTCTTGAAGGATTTGTTGCATGCACTAATGCCTTTGGAGATGCTAAACAACAATGTTTTAGTCATTGGGATCATTCTGTTTCTCAGAATTCATCCCCGGCTACATTGACGAGTTGGGTACGAAATTGATCCATATCGCTTATTCAGGGCTCTCTTTGAAGGCAAAGAACCTTCTGAGAGCCATGTCTAATCAGATTCATCACATTTCTATGTCCTTATCAGCCCAGCTGAATTGCCTGCTGGAGGACATTGTGTGAGCTGGTATGTAGACCTCCCCCAATACTTTTATCTCACATTATTTGCATGATCTGACAGTATTTTCATCTGAAGGTTTTGATTACCCCTTTAGTTATCTTAACCACTTCTGATAGATTATACAGAGGGGTGAGTATTTTCATTGCTATGCCTGTCTCTACTTTACCTTTCAGGGTCCCTTACCTCATTTTCACAGGATCCCACTCTGTGGCGAGTGTTGCCCAGGCAGGTGTGCTTTTATCAATCCAATTCTGCACTAGCAACCACTAATTCAATATACTTTATCTAGGTTGCAACAAGCTCTGTAGAAATGTTCCATAAGACCACCTAGAGACTGACTGAATGGTATTACTGTACTATGCTGGACCACCATTCATGGACTATCATGAGCAAAGCATAAGGGGATCCTGCCTATATCAGCTGATTATTGGATTGAATAAATTGGGGTTGATTTGCTTTTAAAAATTTAGGAAACTTGATTCACCTATTGCACTGATTACAGAGCACTGTTCCTCAAGACTCTCCAATGTGCATTACACCCTAGATTCTACTAGTGGAGCTAGGGAGTCCTTACCACACCTGGTTTCCAGTTATTGGGGTGGTGGACAGAGGCTTTTCCTCCAGTGTGTTAGAGTGAATTTCCTCCACTCTTGGAGAAGAGGGCAAAGTTTGGAGTCCTCCTACCCTGGTCCCTGGATTTTTTCTCCCAGGTGTTGGTAGAAGAGGCACCCACCTATGCAGGAGCCTACTCATAATACCGGTTCATATTTGATGCTCGACTATCTGGTTGGGTTAAGCGTGGCCCTTCTTTTTGATCAATATTGGTTCAGTACATTGTTCATGGAAGAGGTTTCATTATCTCCTCAAAATTCTGATTGCAGTGTGGTCCCATACTGAGTCCTTGGTTGTGCACAATTTGTTCCATGTCCTTCACATAATTCTGAAGGCAAGTGGAATTTATCTTGTCCACATGGTTGGGGACTGAGGATGAGTGTTCATAATTCCAGACTGGATGAATTCTGTTTCCTCAGGTTGAGTAAGGCATACAAGATTTCATCATTCCGAGCCTGGGGTGTTGCCTTTTGGACTTCTTCTGGTTGAGGAGGTTTGTCCACTTCGATGTTGCTTACCTTCTCACTAGAGTGCTAATTTTCTATTGACACACCCATGATCTGTGCAGATGCTTTCTGTATGGATAATGCCCTCACCAACCTCCATCTTATCAAGGTGGGGTTCTAGCTGGTGGTAAGTATATTTTGAAAGTTAATATTTTTTAATAGAAAATGTATTTCCAATAATGCTTACCTATTCTCCCACTCTCCCACCTTTTCTCCCCACTAAGAGCCAGTATTAGAGACTGTGGATTGAGTCAGTCTCTAAAATTAATAACATTATCTGAATGAGGTGCTTATATACAATACCAGGATAGAGGGTGCATTGATGTAGGTGGAGAGTGTTACGAGACAAATATCACCAAGGGTAATTAGTGGGGTATATAAGATTGGAGCAAACGAGAAAATATCAGACCAATGCTTAGATGAGCAAATAAAGAAACCCTGGCAGTCGATTAAAAGCTGTAGTTTGAGAGGAAGTAAGTATATATATATATATATATGAAACTGTGTATATATATGTATCTTATATTATGATTTAATGAACAGTACAGTATTTCAAAAATGAATTTAAACTTGATAGTTTTTTGTTAAGCAAAGACTATAATTTTTAGCTGCAGCATAGCGGCTGATAGAACAACTTTGAGTTTCTTTGTTTTTATCAAGTCAAACCATTTTTATTGATGTAATTGCTGCCTAAAGGAATTTCAGTTTGAGGGTAGGCTGGTAGAGATCCTGATAAGTAATAAAATTGAATCGGGTATTGCTGGCACACAAAAATATAGCTAATAAAAAGGAAAACAATGTCTCATAGATTAATTTACTCTAATTCTGCCTAGAAGAATTTCAAGTGCTGCAACTATTGATCTTAAGTAGTTTTCAGCTTTATATTTTCTGATATAGTGATTGTTAAAAGATTCAATTAATTTTTTGCAGGCAAAGCAATTTCACAAAAAACTGTATGATGTAAGTATGTGTTTGATATTTTGAAATGTAGAAATATAAAGAAAAAGATGATAAAAGAAGGGATGCCTTTGAGACAGCAGTAGCAGAACAAAGCTCAGGCAAAAAGAAAACTAAGAGGAAAATGGTTGGTTCTGAGAGTGAGACAGACACAGAGAAAGACTCAGTAGAACAGAACATGCCAGCTCTAACTGTTAAAATTACTTCTGTTGAAAAGTCCGTAGCAGAGCAAGAAAACAATGCCAAGGAAGAAGGAAGAACAGGTAAAATGAAAAAAATCAAAGAGGCCAAATCAAAGAAAGACATGGGGCTTGATAAGAGTAGTAGGTTATAGGCATCATTCTGCCCCAAATAGTGTATTTTTTTCATATTAGTACCACTCTGTGGGTACTGATCCATCTCAGCACAAAACAAAAATTTGTTCAGACTCAATATGCTGAGCAGGTGTGTATTCCTAAAATTAGTTATTAATCTATAGGTTGCAAATCATCATTAGTAGTAATAGCTTAGAACCAACACTATATATATATATATATATATATATATAGAAACTGTGTTTTTGTTGGGATATTCATGTATAATTGATGTCTGTCAATTATTGTTTTACTTATAGAATTTTGCTTCCATCATGAATAATAAATCTTCTAAATTGTTCATTGATTTTAATCAATATATTTACATATATACGTGTGTTAATAATTAGATCCTTGTATTGAACTTCCGTAGATATATTGTTAGTAGCTTTGTGTTTATAGCTGTATCAACATGGTAGGTTTTGAGTAAGGTGTTGAACTTGATTTATGTTGCAGGATTTGCCTAAGTATTATGATTTATTTTTCTGAAGTTATTTTTTAAATTATTTTTTAATATAAAACTTAAATATATATATATATGTAATTAACAAGTCTTTCAAGAGCAATGTCAATTTAAAGTTGTATTTTTAAATGTTGCCAATCAAGAATGATACTTGTAACTTTATTAGCTATTTTTCATCGGTAAGTCAAAGCATAGTAAACAAATTTATTTAACTAGAACATTGTTTGTGAAATTTATTACAGTTATTACAAAATATATTTCAACATGTTACATCAGAGAAAAAAAAAACATGATTTTTATGTCATACATGTTTGTCATTAATCATTCCTCACCACAAGAATTGTACCATAATCAGAATATGAGTTATAAAGTAACAAGCCATCATACTTCACTTTTAAAGTATGATTAAGTTCAGTAATGTTTGAGGTTTCTGTGTAAGTATGCTTGTGATATAATGATATATATCCATTTTACAAGCATATAAAACTAGATTGATTTTTTGTACACAAAATGTGCTTGTTTACACTAGCTGTACATGATCAATGATTCTCATTGTGTGCCTGCTCTAAACACATTTTTATGTTTGTTTTTCTCTTGTTACTTATTCAGAGGGTGTATGTTTCAGATAAAGGACACAGAGATTATATTAAAATAGGAAAGCTGTTTTAACTCTGGTTTGTTTTTCTATGCAAAAAGTGGGGTTTTAAATGTTTTGTTTCTTTTTCCTGTAATTAAAAGTATTCATATTTTCCAGGTGATTTTAATCTTCATGTTTTATTTCACTAATTTTGTAGTCTTATATTTAAGTTATCTGTTTCTTGTTTATACATAGTATTATTTTGTTTAGGAAAATATTTTTACTATGCATGTCCTTCTGATTGTTGTATTTAGTTTTTCTTCTTTTCGTATGAACATTATCTTTAAATCCATTCACAAGATAATTTTATTTTGTGCATATTTATTTTGTATAACCTATATTTACATGAACAAGATCAAATTATCTTGATATTATGCTTCTGTTCTCAAAATGTGTATGAAGTCTCGTGGCATCTTATAGGATTAGTTGGTTTTATGTAAGCAATATAACTACTTAAAAGATGTACAGTGAAATTAATAAAATAAATTTTCTAAAAAATATTTCAAGTATTTATGATTAAAAAATTATATATATATATATTAGTTTTTATGTTATCAGACTTGGATTTGTAACATTCAATGTTACAGACTTTCTTCTGTAACATTCCATTTAATTTCATGCTTTAAAAAAGTTCAAGAAAAAAAAGATTGTTCTTCATTGGAAACTTCTGTGTGCTGCATTTGTCTTAGAAGTTTTTGGATGATGTTTCAAACTACTGGATCTGATTAAGAACTGTTACAGCAGCTGAAAACATCATCCCAAAACTTCTAACATAGATGCAGTCCAGAACAATATTCAGGTAATTTCAAGTTGACTGCTTACACCAGTAAGTTTTTTTTTCAATTAGTTTGTGCAGTATTTCTTTTTTATTTTATTTTTATGCATCTCCTTCCTGATATATAATGGGTATAACAATGTTTTAATAAATAAGTTGCATTTACAAATAAGCATTAAATTCAAAATATTGATTGTGGCAAATAGTTTATCTAATGTCAACTTCATTTCATCAAATGCTAAAGTATTTTAATAATGGCTGAATATTTGTTTCCATGAAATTATGAATTGATAATTGTCATATTCAGAGAAATGCAGTTTTGTTTATAGTTAAGAGAAGTGTTGAAGTTGTGTTACATTTTCATGAATGAAATGGGGTTTCTTGAGTTGAAATGCATAAGAAAAAAAGTTTTTTCCCTGTTTACTCACAGTATATTTGTAGTTTATATATGTAATGCCACTTGTTAGATTTTGGTGACAGTATTGTTCAAAGATAATCATTTTTCATACTATATATATATCCTTAAATGTTAAGTTATTGAAACAATATATGATGCAGGTACATCACCAGTTAAATTGTTCATCCATATTTTTACATACTGTTATATGCATATTTTTCAAAGTTCTGTTTTGATCTTACTGATTTGTTTCTGAACTTATGTATGAAAAATGTTCTCTGTAAGCTCTTCAAATGAATAATTTTGCTGTGGTTTAATGTATGTGGTCTTGATTATGTTGTTGTACTGTAATACTTCATACACTTTTAGCAATCTGAAAACAGTATGATTCAACATACATGGACTTGGCTATTTTGCTCTACTGTAAAAATAACTTTACACACTTTAGCATTCTGAAAAATAATTTATTATACTTGGACTTTAGTATGTTATGTACAGTCAGGGCCGGCGCAAGGTGTTTTGACACCCGAGGCAAACTAAAATTTTTTGCCCTTTCTTCTTTCCACTCCCCTTCCATTATCACTCAGAAACTATTAAAATGACCCAATATCAATTGTAGAATAAATGACAATCAGTTAAAGAAACTGATTTAATTTTTATTATCATGTTTTCAATACTTTTATACTGTAACTGATAAATAACTAAATTCAATGTTTATAATACATTGAAATTTAGTTCCATTTAACATTATTAAAATTTTAATGTGACTTTTAATAAGTATCTCTAAAGAAATTGGGCTTTTCTTGCTTTTGCCTTAGCAGAATCATGAAGAATTATGATAAAATTAATTTCTTTGACAGTTCTGCTCAATAGCAAATGTAGCCAGTCCTACAAGCCTTTCTTGCAACAATGAAAAATGCAAGTAATTTTTGATGAGTTTTAACTTTAGAAAACTATGCTCATTAGATGCCACAATAATTGGCAAAGTCAATAAAACTCTTTAAGTGCTACAGCAACATTTTGAGTGAAATATTTTATACTATAAATTCAAGTTCTTGAAAAAGTGTTGTACCAAGTTTTATGATAGGTGTTAATGCTATCAACTCATCATCAATTTCCAATCCATCAGTATCCATCTCTTTTGCATTTGGATCTGTTAAAATGTTCTGTAGGTTCATATAACTTGTTTTAAGCTCTGTGGACAACCTACTAAGTTTATTTATTTTATAAAGAAACTGGAAGTGTCTGTTGTGATTTTCGAGAAGAAAAAAATTCCCGCTTATAGAACAGCATGATATAACATAATGTTAAGGGACAACAAGGGACCAGTTGATCCATCGTGGGTGTCCCATCCTCTAAACTAAACTAAAAGTATTAAAAAACGATAAAAAACAAACTTAAAGCCAGCTATTATCATTCTTATATTTATCAAGTTTTCTCTTAAACTCTCTTAAATATGCTGTTTCCAAAGCATAGAAAAATTCAATTTTAAATTGTGCTTCTGGATATTTTATGAGTTCATCTTAGCTTTCATAAGTAAAAGTCTTTCTTTTTCTAAGGACATATTGAGGTAGTCTCTGGAAATGCTGTTTCTATATAACTCTCTTTCTTCTTTTAAAGCATTTTGAAAACCCTTATCAGAACAAAATTCCTCCAAAATTTTTTTATGTTCTTCCTGTATTCATTTGCATGAGGTAGGTATAAAGTGTCGTTCTGAAGAAGCTTGTTTACAATGTTAATATGATTTGAAATTTTGAACCAAATTACAATGCTTCATAGAAATCTGAATCTTTCCAGCTCTTACCAAAAATTGTAGTTTCATGTCTAGCCAAAGGATCTAAGGTATCGCTACTTGAACTTTCAATCAGCATATCGTATACTTCTCACATTTAGTACCTGAAAGATCATATAGTATCATTCCTACTTGGCTATCTTGTCTCACATAGTGGCTTCACTGTTAGGCTACTGATATTTTCTTTCGATACACATCATTGATTTGAAGACCAATTAAAAAATATGTAAGTATTCTGAATTAATCCAAAAATTGAAATTGCCTCTTTGCATGATATAGTAGCATCATTCACTAACAAATTTAAAGAATGAGCAGTGCATGTAAGGGAGAATGCCTTAGGATTCAAATCGAGAATTCTCTTCTGAATGGCTGAATGTTTCACATTTATGATGAACCCATTGTCATACCCTTTTCCACTCATATCACAAATAGGAACTTGCCATTTCTTTAACATCTTTTACCCCTGCACCAATAGATGGGTAAACCAGAAATCTTTCCACTTTTGTTGATATTTGCTTAATTGACACAAAACAAATAATTACAGACATCTGCTCAGTTCGACTAACATCTAAGGTACAGTCAAGTATTGTGGAATTTTGCTTATGAAGGGTTTCTGTTGAGTGTAATTTTTGATGTGCTTGAAAATAACATTTGCATTTATCATGTCGATCTGCATATGAAGACAGGTTTCTCCAGTCTTTATATCCTACAGTTGTGATTATTCAATTTGTTGATGAAAAAAAGCTTACAACAAAAATAGAATATTTCATTATTTTTGACTGAATAAACTCTCCAAGTTCTGTTAATCTTTTCTTCATTACAAAGGCAATGTTGAAAATGAAATGG